AGAAATTTACTTATCTGCAAGCAAAGTTATTTTATAAGTATTCATAAATATAACATTAAACCTGTCAGCAGGAAGCAAATATACATTCAACTTTTTTTTATTTGTAATTTCAAATTTTTTTAAAGTTATACAACAAATGTCATTTGCCATTCATCGTCTAATTCATTAATCCTTTGAGGGTACTTTTTTCTACCTGACGCGAATTCCTGTGAAATCTTACAATTCTATGTTTTTTGCATTGCTGATTACAAATCTGAAGTTAAATTTCAAAAATTCGAAATGGCAGATCCACATGGCTGCCGTATAAGGTTAAATTAGTATTATTTCTTAATGAATATAAATCAGATACACGATATAAAGGTTTTTCAGATTGATAACTATGATAATTATAAATTTCATATTAGATTTGCAAAATTCAAAATAACGGATCCAATATGGCCACCATACAGGAAACTATTAAAACATATATAAATATGCTAAAAATATAAGTTACATCTGTTTCATGCGAGGGGGTAATTACTAGTTGAAATATTGTCCCTCAGATTATATGATTTCATACGATTTCATCTGATTACAAATAATTTTTTTCTCTACATATGAAGTCATTTGGTAAAATATACGATTTTATTTAATATTATACAATGATTTCTCGTGGTTGCATATGTAATTATCGGATTACACACGGATATTTTATATGAATTTTATAATGATTTTGATGATTTTGTCCCACGATTATATTAATTAAGTGGTTACACCCTCGATTTCCTGGGTTATTATAAATTTGTTCAGATTCGAAAAATTTGAAATAATTGAACCAATATGGATTAAAAAAAGAGAGGTTCAACACATCCTATTTACTAAAGAATGATCTTTTATGACAAAAATGCAAAAAATTTGTTACGTGTAGTGTAATTTCTCTCTTCACACAGTAGAGAGACCAATAATTTTTTATAAAAAATCTAACGTGCAAAAAATTCTGGAAAATACATATATGTATTACATTTTGATATATATAAAAAATATTCTGTAAAATTGTTAGCCTCTTATCTTAAATACTTTATAAGAAACCACGTTTAAAAGAAATGCTTTTTTTTCAAATTTATTTCTTTATAATTTCTATTTAATACTTCTTAATTTCATAATATTTCTTATGATTAGAAAAGCACAATTGGATATAATGACTATGGAAAACGTGTAAAGTAATGATCAGAAAATGATATCAGAAAAATGTAAAATCATAATTGGTTTCATTAAAATGTGAACAATATATCTTAAAAATGAAGAAAAAGGTGAAAAGTATCTTCCCACTGCCCCTCAAAAGATTAATTGGCATCTAATGTAAAGCAAATTCTATTTTTGTACCGAAAACAAACGGCGTTATGATTCGTACACAAATATTTAAATATACATAATATTTAATAAATTTATGAAATCATTCTTATTAGTTTATAAATTTTTTCACTGAGCGGCGTATCGATTTCTTTTCTTTCTGATCCAAACACGGAGAGAGAGAAAAGGAAAATAAGAAAGAATTTTTAAATTTTTTTAAAGATGTAATGTACTATACTTGTTCGGTACAGACTCTTCATGAAAGTAAAAGCGACCGATTACACACGTCAACTTATGTTCTACACTGTGTAACAATTAGTACAACAGAAGTGTGAAATGTGAAAATATATCCAAACTAGCAACGCAAGGCAACTTGTAAAGCAAGATTCGACGATAATAAACACGGTAATAAAAACAATAAAAAAATTATCTCTGTAATCTATCCCGATTATGTAATATAAAAAATCTTATATATATTATTCAATAAGAATAATTTACATAACTTTTTATAGGAAAGAAAAAAATAAAATAATTTTCTTAATTTAATAATGTATTAAAATAAGCTCTAATGAATAACAATTCAAATATATATCGTGAAGAGCTATCAGAGATTAGCTAGTTAATGTGCGCTAATTTAAACAATCATAATATAAACAGTACAAATGTTTCGCCTTTAATATTGGTCCTTTTCAGTGAAATTATACAATATAAAATAATATTAGATTTGTCTTACATAACTCCTCTTCTTAATAAATTTAAATTGATTGATTTTATCATTCATATATTTTTTTATAATTTACACTTCTCATGTTATCTCATAGATCTCTGTTGCAGAAACATAGACCGGAAATCTCGATTCGCTAATCATATACCATATGAACTATTTATGTTATTGTATAAAGAGATAACATGAGAACTGTAAATTATAAAGGATTATCTATATGTCCTTTACAATTTGCAGTTCTCATGTTATCTCTTAGACCTCTTTATACAATAATATAAATAATTCATAAAGTATATGATTAGCGAATCGAAATTTCTGGTCTATGTTTCTGCAAAAGAGATCTATGAGATGACATGAGAAGTGTAAATTATAAAAAACATATGAATGATAATCAATCGATTTATAATAAATTTATTAAGAAGAGGAGTTATGTAAGACAAATCTAATATTATTTTATATTGTATAATTTCACTGAAAAGGACCAATATTAAAGGCGAAACATTTGTACTGTTTATATTATTTGAATTACATGATTATTTAAATTAGTGCACTAGCTGAACTCTGATAGCCCCTCACGATGTATATTTGAATAATTTTCTTAGCTCGTAATTTCGTATTAGGTTCAAAAGAAGATAAAAGCCATGAAAAAGTTATAATCTAATATTCTCTCATTTAACCGCACCACAAAGTATCATGTAAAATAAGTTACATAATAACAATTTGTTACCTAAAAAAAATCGACTACTCATTCGCAGGTTCTGGATTACTATAGTAATAAGTAGCAAACTGAAAAAGAAAGAATTCAACAGCATCACAATGTATCATTATTCGTAACATATTATTACATCTATAATCAGTGTATATTACTTCCGTAAATCATGTATATTGCTACTAATCGTGTTTCCGATGAGTAATTTATGCGTACAGAAAAATGCTTAAACAACGTATCCATCAATAAAAGAATTGACTTTTCTGAAAAAAAAAAATAATGACAGGATGACGATCGTTTATAAATTTGTTCTTTCTTTCAATCCTACGTTCATTCTCAGAGAAGGAAGTTTGTAAGAGTAATACATTTAATTGGAGGTGCAGCGCAGAGGCACTGGTGTAATGTAAGACATTTTGTTTATTTTAGTACTTTCACTGGCAGCTGCATAAGAAGATATTTCCATTCCGTACCACAAAAACCATTCAAACAACTATAATATTCTTTTAGTCGATTTTCACAAGGCAGAAATTAGATTTAAAAATTAGCAAAAACGTTAACGAGCATATTTCAGCTGACTTTCCGTTCTCACGCAAAGTTCGTTAATCTTGTAATAAAAATAAAAAATACGATATTGAATTATAATATCATAATAAATAAAAATATTAACTTTTTCGTCTACTTTATTGTGTCTTTCTACTAAACATTGACATGATCTTATAAATAACTAATTGTTATAGATATTAAACCGTTAACAATCATATTAATAAATAACGGTGACAGAAAAATTATAAATACATACAGTATAAACAGAAAAATCGGTGACCGTAAATGTACTGAACAAAATTCTTTTTTCAATTCAGTTTTAATGTTTTTATTATATTTTAATGAAATTATTAATATATATAATATATTTATAATGTATTGCTTTTTTAATCGTTAAAAACATATTGTATGTATAATTATATATTAAAATTATATGTATATATAAATATTTATATGTACACACACACATAAATATACAGGATGTTAGTTAAATATGTTGCCATACTCAATAGAGCGATTCTTTGGTTTATTTCAAGTAAAAAAGTCCATATAAACACGTGTCCTAAACGGCTTAGTTTCCGAAATACAGGTGAATGTTCGCAAATGTTTGAAACGGTAAATTGCGTTGGATCTTCCTGCATAAATATGCTTTGCTTCACGTGAGTTACCATTCGCACAATCGTAAACAAGTGACAAAGTCAAAGTCAAAGTCACAAAATCAAAAATAGACTTCAGTTTTGATCTTTGAGCGTGTACGTCAATTTTTGAGAATAAGGCTCGATGGATGTATCATGGCTCAAGGTGGACATTTTTAACAATTCATCTAATTGTTTTATTTCATCAAAAGAACTGAAGTCTAAGACTTTTGTACTTGAAATAAACCAAAGAATCGCTCTGTTGAGTATATGGCAACATACTTAACTAACACCCTGTATATACATAATAAGAGAGTAATTTTTCTCTTTTAATTTTTACTTTATATGTATATAAAAGAATTATATATATACACACACATATATATAATTTTAAGTGTGTGTGTGTGTGTGTGTGTGTGTGTGTGTGTGTGTGTGTAATAAAAGTTAAGAGAGAGAAATTACTCCATGCTATTGAATTCCTTTCGTTTTATTATTTCATTTTAAAAAGAAAGTTTGATACAAATACTATCAAATGTGCATTTTTCTACATCAGTAATAAACATTTTCTCCGAATGATTTTTTTATCCTCATGTTAACTTACACATGAATGTGCAAATGTAAAACTTTTCGCGAATGTCAATGCCTACATCTCTGCAGATAGTAATCGTAGCATGACGTGAAGGAAGTGAAACCACTGTCGTAATCCCGAAGCTCATTAAATCTATATCAAACAAAATCGAGAAAACTATTTTCATTTCTCTTCTCTTTTAATGATGCGCAAGTAGCGACTCGCAAAATTGCAGAGCAGGAAATTAAGAATTTATCCTTATACAAAACCGAACACTTTCATTTAGGAAATTAATTCGGAGTACTAATTAGCATAGTCAACAACTAATAATGATAAAAACTATCACGCCGATTTTACGGAATAAGTCATCATTCCCGTATTAATAATTAATTTATAGATCGCATATAGAAGTGAACAAGGAAGTAGCGTCCGTATTTTCTGTAAAAGTAATGGATCTACGGTCCTACTTTCGCGCTGCGGCGCGAAGCTTACCTTTTGAACTTAACTCGCGAGATCACGTGACGATAAGATTCACTAGTTCATCATAGGATACTTCGCGCAGTTCACTCAAGCGAACTCACGCGACTTTGAGCGTTCTTCTCTCTTCTTGTAAGATCGCGCGACACACAGGAAGATAAGGATGCAACGCGATCCGAGTTTCGAATTAACAATAATTTCCGTTTCACGATAGGACGATGAAAAAAAAGGATTTTTGTTAATTCTCAGAAAAGGATTGAAATGTCACCAATCTCTACACTGGCCGATCTTCCTACGAGATGACTTTCGCAGTGTTCGTTCTCACGTGATCCAATGTCCCTAAAGAACTGAACGAATGTGATCGCGATCGTTTGGAGTATGTCCGAAGTGCTTCCCACTTTCGGGACCAAACAAGTGCAAGAAGTGGGGTACTAAAACATTAGAATATTGCTGTTGAAATCACAACGTTGGTGGGGTCTCCCCCGAACGACCAAAGGAAAACGCATCGGGTCAGGTCTTCTGCTCCCTTCTCCGCGAATCAATAGCAGCTGTTGTTACGTCATTAAGAAAGAAAAATAAAAAATTAAGAAAATTGTATAATACAATATTAGTCCTAATATGATCTCTGGTTCATGCGTGCACCCCTTCATAGGATAGTTGTGTTACATTCTTCTATAAATGAAAAAGATAAATACTCGTCTACAAACTAGTCTCTCTTTTTTCTCTACAATTGAGAAATTTATAGATTTTTAAAAAATTGCAGATCTTGAAATTTAAGAAGATTTATGACATTAAATCATTTATAAAATATAATTCAATAAATTTTAATAAGATTGTTATAATTCTACTTAAAAATTTATTAATGACAAATTACCTTTAAAATTATCATGACTGCACTGAAAAAAAGATTGGCTGCTGCAGCAAATTAGATGTAAAATATGACATTTTTAATTGGTTGCAGCAGCCAATTAAAAATGCTATGCCATATTTTACTATTTAATTTGCTGCAGCAACCAATCTGTTTTTTCAGTGTACAATTTAATTAATTATTTTCTTACGCAAAAAGTGATGTTTTTAACCATAAAAATTAAATTAAATTTATATTAGTTTTTAATAACAAACGTACTTCATAATTATATAATTTTCACCGGGTTGGTTGATGTCAGTATAGAGTGGAGATACCAACATAGAGTGGATTTAACACCATGGATATGAACATGATGAAAATTATATAAATACCGCATAGTTACATCTACAACCATATTTTTTAGAGTGTAATGTGCTTAGAGATAAAATTATAATCTTCTTTAAAAAAAAACTGAATTTTAAAGAACATTTCTAGAAAGAAAACTCTTGCCAGATTTTTCTTTTTTTTTTTAAACATATCACATACCAAGTATTACTACATCAGTCGCATATAATCAGAATCACGGAAATCGAAGAGCAATGTTATACAATGTAATAAGATTAAGAATCCTTATACTAATACAATGTATCAAAGTAAGGAAAGTAAAGATAAACCATTTCCGGAATTGTACAACAGAAAATTTGCGGTTTACATTTCTCTTAATCATAGCTAGCACATCCGAGAGAAAGACATAATTATAGCTTCGAACGTAAGCACGAAATAATGTGCCACCTAAGTTTGCACATGTGAACACAATCGAACAGAATAATTGTAACCTATGATCTTTTTACATTAGCATTGTAGATCACCGCAACGTGATTCTTCCTTTTCTATTTATTTTAATGCGTCGATTAAATATTCTTTGAAAAAGTTCACGTATGATAACAAATAGGAAGTGTATGTATATTTCTCAGGAAAAAATAAAGATTAATTAGAAATTCTTCTAAAAATGCAAAAAATTAAAAAATGGGGACAATTTTAATTTTAAAATTTTAATTCAAATTTAATTCAATTTGCTTTCCTAATTCAATTTATTACGTATATCCGATTAGTGTATCTTTAATTAAATTGTTAGATTTATATATAATAATTTATATATAATACAGAGTGCAATTTATTTAAATTTAAGAAGTTTATTTAAATCATTGCTAACAGAAAATATTTGCAGAAATTTATTGCATAATGTAAATTTATAATCGACTGGCGGGAAACAGTACAAAGTACAAATAGAACGTATAATAGGAAATATACTATCGCATTAATGTCTACATAAATGGATATAAAGCATTCCGCATTAGCTAGTGCTTCCTTGGCGAATTAGCTTTGGAAATTGGAAAGTGAAAAGATTTCTATCATCACTAAACTATTATACGTATGTACTGTGATCCACCTGATCTTGATTGCAATTTGTAATGTGACTTAGCAGCATATGATTAGCATACGATTATACTTCTCCACTACACTGAAAAAAAAGATTGGCTGCTGCAGCAAATTAGATGTAAAATATGACATAACATTTTTAATT